CCATCCATCCATCCATCCATCCATCCATCCATCCATCCATCCATCCATCCATCCAGCCAGCCAGCCATCCACACATCCATCCATCCATCCATCCATCCATCCATCCATCCATCCATCCAGTCCTTCCGTCGTCGTTTTCAGATTACCGTTAAATATCAATTTATGCAGATATATGTTTATGCCCCGCCTCCCGTCGAGACCATTTCGATAATTTAGAAGGCAGGCTTTGACCCTGCTTGTCCGGGCCAACCTGGGCTGAGAGGGATACAATATATCAGCAAAAAGACCGAGATACTGAATGAAAATTATATCCACTCGACAATCGAACTCGGGTCTCCTGCGTCTTTCTTCTCGCTAGAGTGTTACAGGTTCATCACCTGGTAAGTGTGTAAGAGCCTTTGGATTGAGTTTGAATAGCACAACGACACAATGTCACAAAAGACCTCAGTCAAACAGTCTGTCTTCCATTTATTAGTATTAGTTTTAGTATAAATGAAGTTATAAAAAACAAAGAAATGCCCAAACTCTCCCATGCATACAATTCCAACCAGTAACATCAGATTGAGTAACATCTCGCTCTCATCCTGTCTCACTGGGCTTATTGATTGTCAACGGAAAATAGGATTATCAAGTTGTAACATGGAAAAGCGGTACTGATTCTGTGTTTTAATCCTCGGGAAAATATCGTTCCGGACACACTGTTTGACCCCAATCACGCTGTGAAGAGAAGAAGCAAAACAGATAGACAGAAACAACAGAGGGGAAGAAAAGAATTGAGACCTTTTCGTACCAGTAGCGGCTTCTACTAACCACTCGCCTTTTTCCATTTCCTGATTGTCTAGGTGTGGAAGATGATCACATGACCAGCGTCCCCTGGGAGGCTTCTTCCATCCATGAACTCGACCTGACCTCCACTGAACTGTCTGCTCACTGCTTGGAAAACATCCTTCTGCGCATGCCTGGCTTCACATACTTGGCACTGGGCTATTGCGAATTCTTCAATGACGTGGTAAGCTTTATTCTGGCATTTCGTCGTGTACATGGAATGTTCTAAATTCTGCTCTCACTTCTTAGTATTAATTGCTTGACATTCACAAATACATTTAGAATATAAAGCTGAGTCAAAACATGAAAAAATGACATAAAAGACAGTGAATAACTATTTAGGTAAATGAATGAATAAATGAATCAATAAATAAATATATAATAAATAAATACATAATAAATAAATCAATAAATCACTGAAGTATAGACTACGGAACTCCGTCAGAACATGACAAAGGAGAACTTAAAAAAGAAAATCGAATAAGTATCTAGTACATTAAGACCATTTTCTTTTTCACTTTTCTTTTTAGAACTTACTTGATTACCTTTTTCGTATTCCTTTTTTAATGTTTTGACTGAGTTCTGTATTCTATATTTCTTTATTAGGTTAATGTCAGCAAAGATAGTACATAACAAGATGGTCCACTCAGCCAAAAAAGTGTCCGCCGGAAGTCTGCTCTTTGCTTTAGATGGCGCTGAAGTCTGTTTTGAAGCTCTCTTTCGTTTCTCCAGAAGAAGAATAGGAATAGCACCTCCTTGCGTGGCAGATCGACTGCTGTTCAACAGCAGTTCGGGTTCGTTCAGTGCGGAGTTTTAGGGTTTAAAATTTTTTTAATGACCTCTTGCATTTCATTCTGAAGTCAAATTAAATGAAGAAAACAGTCACCTCTTCCTCCGGAACAGGTTTTTTGCCAGCATATCCATTTTAAAAAAAAGCGTTCTTCCGAAATTTGAATTCTTATTTATTCGAAACCTTGTTAGTTTCACTTTTTAATTTTTTAACACAAGTAGGGTAACTCTGTTTGCAAAGGGTGCACATTTGCGAAGATGGCGGCACCGAATTTTGAGGACACTTTTTTAATTGGCTCAAAGAGAGGAGTGGACCCTCTTGTTATGTAGACTCTTTGATGTCTGGCAACATAAGCAGCACCTCTCCGCCGCGTCTGCCAATGAAAACATAGAAGACTTATTATAATGACGTAAAAAAGAGACAGTGCATCTTTTTCAGCCCATCTTTGTTTCTTTTTAACTGCAGGGGGAACTTTTCTTGTATTCAAATCAGGTGTAATAGGTCTGATCAAAAATGAAAAACAAGATCTTGTAAAATCTGAATTCTTATTGTTGATGCTTTTTGTGGTGTGTGTGTGTGTGTGTGTGTGTATGTGTGTGTGTGTGTGTGTGTGTGTGTTTATGTGTCTGTTTGCGTGTGTGTGTGTCTGTGTGTATGTATGTGTGTGTTTGTTACTATATATATACAAAATATATAATATGTCATAATTATATTCATACACAATAATTAAAGTCGAACTCGCTTTTACGGCCACTTTTCCAAGACAATCATCTGTACAAACGACAACTTTCCACTCCCCCTTTGCTTAGTTGTTTCTATATCATAATAACACTATCCAAGATGTCCGTCTGTCTAGGACAGTCACTTTTCTCCTCGACGATATATGGATGTCCGTTTGAAAATCATATATTAAGGGTGCATAATGGAAAATGGGGGAAAAAAAAAATTCACGGACTGGAGAAAAGGCTAGACAAAACTCCTAGACATAGATGACTGGTGCCTCGCTCTATTTATTAAATGTATTGATGGTCTGGTCTGGTAATGGATGTCCATTTTTAACAATTTCGACTGTATGCTGTTGTGTATGCCCACCCTCAGATCTTGGAGAAATTGATGGAGAAAGGGAAATTCAACCGGCTGCAGGCCCTGGACATTAGTCACACGCATGCGCTGAGCGAGAACGCCATCTACCAGTTCATCCAGATGCACGGCACCAATCTGAAGGGTCTCATGTTGGCCGGGAAACCGAAGCTGACGGAGAACTTCTGGCTGAACGCTATCCCCTGCCTCAAGAACGTCAGGTGCGTAGTGGTTTTTATCTCAGTTTTTGAAGTGGGAGAGATTGAGGTATGTGGTGGGGTGGGGTGGGGGGTTTGTGTGTTTGTGTGTGTGTG